GACTGGAACAGCACATCAACAGAGAACTACCAGAAGTCCAGGCTGGGTTTAGAAGGGGTCGTGGTACTAGGGATATTGTACCTGATGTTAGATGGATCTTAGCTGAAAGCAGAGAATACCAGAGGAATGTTTATCTCTGTTTCATTGACTATGCAAAGGCATTTGACTGTGGCTGACTTTGAGAAGAATGGGAATCCCAGAACACTTGATCATTCTAATGCAAAACCTATACTTGGAACAGGAGGCAGTTGTCAGAACAGAGCAAGGGAACACTGCATAGTTCAAAATTGGGAAGGGCGTATGCCAGGCATGCATCCTATCTCCATACCTTTTCTTTCTTTTTTTTTTCAACTTCATTGTAGTTATTTATTTCCTGTAAACAACATGGATATTTGTATTAAAAAGTTCACATGGAATCATTGCTTGGTCATTCTTTCAATTCTACATTACAATTCAGTGTCATTCTCATGGGGTTTAAGGTGTGGGTGGTCAAGACGGAGCCAGTATTTATGTTCAGATGTCTTTGGCACATTTCCTGGTTTCTTAAATATCAAAGAACTGGCTGACATGGGCTACTCAAAGCTGCAGAAATACACGGTGTCTGACCTTGGGGTAAGCATAGGTTTGTATTCAGCATTATTTACAAGATGGGAACTGAAATACAGACGTTACGGAGCAGCTGTCTTTGCAAATGAGCAGGATCTGACTGGTACAGGTGGAGAGTGCCCCTCCTTCTTCAGCAGAGCATCTGGTGGATTCAAACGGTGTACATCTGGGATTGCAGTGCAGCTTTTTGCCACTAGGCCACCAGAGCTCCCCTTAAGCAGTGGATTTTAATGAGGAGGATCAGGACTATGACTAGCAGTCCCTGGATTATGAAGTGTTGTCCCTAAAACTGGCTGTGAGTTGACTTTGCTTATCAATTAGAACAGTTAGGTTTGGCTCATATATATCAAATCTCCTTTATATAGTACCTTTCTACAGTAAAAAACTGAAATCTCCATACCTTTTCAACCTATATGCAGAAGAGATTATCACGGAGGCTGGGCTCTATGAGGAGAAATGTGGGGTCAAGATTGGTGGACGATTTATCAACAATGTGCGTTATGCAGATGACACAGCCCTGCTTGCTGAAACTGAAGAGG